TTTTTTTTTTTTTTTCCAAGACAGGGTTTCTCTGTAGCTTTGGAGCCTGTCCTGGAACTAGCTCTTTTACTCCAGGCTGGCCTCGAACTCACAGAGATCCACCTGCCTCTGCCTCCCGAGTGCTGGGATTAAAGGCAAAGGTGTGCACCACCACCGCCCAGCTGGAATTTTTCTTCTTTTTAAGATGTCAATCAAAGGAAAGGGCTGGGCATGAATGCTAGGGACAAAAATTTAGGAGTTCAGAATTTGCCAGATTCTGGTACATTTGGTGCTCTATAAGAGCCTCAGCAGGGCCTGGGCCACCATCTCTGGACTATGACTATGCCGCCAGGTTCAGGCTGGTCTGGGCTACATGAGGACCTGTAACAAAGAACGCAGAGGGGGTAGGCAAGATGGCTAAGTGAAAAAGGCACTTTCCACCAAGCCTTAAGACCCAAGTTCAATTTCCCAAGAGAAACAACTCTTGAAAGTTGTCTTCTGACCTCCATATACATACTGGGGCATGTGAGTGTCCCACACTCCCAACACAAGACAGAAATGTACTTTTTTTGTTTTGGTTTGTTTTGGTTTTCGAGACAGAGTTTCTCTGTGTAACTTTGGCTGCCTTGGAACTCACTCTGTAGACCAGGCTGGACTTGAATTCACAGAGGTCTGTCTGCCTCCCTAAGTACTGGGATTAAAGGCATGTGCCACCACTGCCCAGCATATAAATGTAATTTTTTTTAATTTAAAAAAATAGGGCTGGATGGGGCTGGAGAGATGGCTCAGTGGTTAAGAGCACTGGCTGCTCTTGCCGAGGTCCTGAGTTCAATTCCCAGCAACCACATGGTGGCTCACAACCATCTGGTGCCCTCTTCTGGCCTGAAGACATACAAGCAGGAAGAACCCTGTATCCATAATAAATAAGTCTTTAAAAAAAAAATACAAAGACAGACCAAGTGGTGGTGGTGCACACCTTTAATGCCAGCCTCGGGGAGGCAGAGGCAGGCGGATCTCTGTAAGTTTGAGGTCAGCCTGGTCTACAGTGTGAGTTCTGGAACACCCAGTCTTGAAAAACAAACACACAAAAAAGACAGAAGGGAAGAGAGGAAAGGAGGGAGGGAGAAAGTTCATTTTCAGTAGACAGGTTGTGTTCTCAGTTACCTTTCCACATCTCTGTAGGAAACAAATCGGACCTGTGGGAGAAGCGGCATGTCCTATTCGAGGATGCCTGCACATTGGCTGAGAAGTACGGCCTCCTGGCTGTCTTGGAGACATCCGCTAAGGAGTCCAGGAACATAGACGAAGTCTTCGTCCTCATGGCCAAAGAGTTAATTGCCCGCAACAGCCTGCATCTGTATGGGGAGAGCGCCCAGCAAGGTCTCTCCCAGGATTCCAGCCCAATTTTTGTGGCCCAGGGCCCCAGCGAGAACACCCGCTGTACTTGCTGAATGCGTGTGGGAAGCCAGAACAGAAGCCAGGGTGCACAGACACCAGTGTCTCCAGGCAGAACTGCAGGCGGAGCCTTACTCCTGGCCTGGATGGGCAGCACAGACTCTGAGGACAAGGGGATGCCGATGTCCTTAAGGACTCCTTGAGAAATGAGAACTTCAGGACCTGGGGGAAGAGGTTTAGGATGGACATTCCCCATCCTGGTTCTGTCTCCCCAACACCCCAAATGTTTTATAGTGGAATTTTCTTCACTACTGTACAAAGACAGTAGTGATGGCAAGGAGAAAGTGGGAATATGGAGAGAGATATTGGAACATTCTAGATTTGGAAACAGGTGGGGGAAGGCCTGTAATAAAAACCAGAGCTGCCAGACTGGTGGCGCACGCCTTTAATCCCAGCACTCGGGAGGCAGAGGCAGGCAGATCTCTGTGAGTTCGAGGCCAGCCTGGTCTACAGAGCTAGTTCTAGGACGGCTCCAAAGCCACAGAGAAACCCTGACTCGAAAAACCAAAAAAACAAAACAAAACAAAAACAAAAAAAAAAAACCACACACACTTGCACAAAATGGCATGTATGCACACAATGGCATGTACACACACAATGGTGTGTACATATAAACACACACTTGCACACAATGGCATGTAAATACACACACAATGGCATGTACATACACTCACAAGGCATCCCCAAGAGCTGGAGACATAGCTTAGCTGATAGAGTGCTTGCCTAATATGCACCAATCCTGAGCTTCAAGCTTCAATACCAAGTGCGGTAGTACACACCTATCATCCTAGCACTTGGAAAACAGAAGCAGGACAATTAAAAGTTCAGGGTCATCGTCACCTACATAGCAAGTCAGAGGGACAACCGGGGATACAAGAGACACTGTCAATAAATCAAACTATTAAAAACAAAAGCTTGACCGCTAGTGTTGACATTTCCTTCTTTCTCTTTTTCTCTGACAGGGTTTCTCTGTGAAGCCCTGGCTGTCCTGGAACTCACTCTGTAGATAAAGCTGGCCTCAAACTCACAGAGATCCACCTACCTCTGTCTCTCAAGTGCTGGGATAAGGGCATGCGTCACCACCATCCACATTTCTAATCCCAGCGGTGATGTGGGATCCCCCTCTGTATGCTGTGAATGTGCTTTGTTACCACTGGTTAATAAAGAAGCTGCTTTGGGCCTATGGCAGGGCAGAATAGAGTAAGGCAGAAATTCCAAGCAGAGAGAGGCGGGAAAGAAGGCGGAGTCAGAGAGATGCCATGTAGCCACCAAAGGAGACAGATGCCCCAAACCTTGTCAGTAAGCCACGAGCCTCATGGTAATACACAGATTAATAAAAAATGGGTTAACTTAATATGTAAGAAAAATATACTAAGTAAAAATATACTTAAGTTGGTCAAACAGTATTGTAATTAATATAGTTTCTGTGTGATTATTTTGGATCTGGGAGGGGGGGGACAAGCAGACTCTACACAGCTCTTGCACATGGGTATCTTGAGGTAGGAAGATTGCAAATTGAAGGCCAGCTGGAAAAACAGTGAAACCTTTCAAACGACAAGCACTGCCAGGCGGTCACGGCGCACATACCTTAAATCCCAGTACTTGGGAGGCAGATGTAGGCTGATCTGTGAGTTCAAGGCCAGCCTGAACTAAGAGCTAGTTCCTCTACAGTTAGGGTTGTCAAGCAGAAAAACCCATTCTCAAAACAAAACAAAAGACAGGCACTGCAGGCCTTGCTTTATTTTGCTTGAGAAGGGTCCCACTGTGTATCCTCCCTGTCTGTCCTGGAACTCACCAGACAAGACCACTCTGGACTTAAATGCAGAGATCCACCCCGGCAGGATGGGTTTAAAGGCAGGTGACACGTGTCCAGCAGCACTCAATCCCAGCACTCTGAAGGCAGAGGCAGGTGGATCTCTGCGGGTTCCAGACCACAATGGTCTACACAGTAAGTTTTACTGTGAAGCCAGCCAGCCAGCCAGCACTAGATAGTGAGTGAGCCCTTGTTTCACAGAAGACAGACAGAAAGACAAAAACAAAAAACCAAGTAATTTGCACCTTGGAAGGAAGAACACCATCGGCGACTGCAATGCCACCCTGTGGACACGCACCAATGACAGTACCCACGGGCACGGAAATTCTCAAATTCTAGTACACTTTGGGGGGTGATCTAGATTCAGACAGTCCACCCTACAGGTTACATGTGTGAGAAGAACCTACGTGAATACCAGCAACTTATTAAACTTTGGGCTACTGTTGAAATTCTGAACACTTGGAACTGTATAGACTGGAGGGTTTCTGTGGACTGTATGCACAAAAGTCTTGCCTGCACAAAAGAGCGAGGCGGGCTTTCGCAAAGCTTGTTAGGCTTCTGACTGCCCTGTAAACCATTTCCAGTGGACTTGACCCTGACTCAGCAATGGACAGGCTGTGTAGAATAGAATTATGGCCATTTCCACACACCCATAATATTGTATAGCTAGCAACCAGAGAATTATATGAAATCAAGATCCCAAAAGGGAAAATGCTTCTTCAGTATTTATTGTACAGGGGTATAAATACTTGTTGATATTTCATAGCTCATAAATTGTCCCTGAGGCGGCTGTGGCGTAGCAAGTGGGGTTTCCAGTTTCCTAATAATGGCCAGCAGAACATGCGAGAGGGCGGGGCATCAGCGCCTACCTTGAGAA